ACCCCTCCCCCTCCCCCCTCCAAAGTAAGTTTTTCCTGTTGTTCAAGGGAAGATGAAGGAGATGTGATTTCATGTAATAAAATTCACGATATCTGGGATAAAAGAGATTCTTAAAACTATCACAAGTGCGTTTGGTGCGTAATATTTTTTTTGTTTTTTTTTTCTGAAATAAATCTACTGTGTAAAAGCGTGTGATAGGTACATTAGAGTATTAATATAGTTCAGGGGCTTGAAAAATTGTACGGTTGCAAAGACTTCTTATAAATTGTGTTACTTGTATGCATGTTTTTCAAATTTTCAGCCCCACACTCATTGCTCAATATATTTTAATAAAGGATGTACCTATACGAAAAGTATTGTTTTTAGTGGTTGTTAAATTTAATTTTTTTTTTTTCTTAGGAGATTGTTGAGATTCTAATTCAGCATGTAAGGTAATCAATACATCAGGACCACCTTGGTTCAAAAGAAGTCATTTACATGACAATTATTGACAATGGTTTGTGTACACCATGTTTAATTCTTAGACCATGTTTAATTCTTAGACCATGTTTAATTCTTAGACCATTTTTAATTCTTAGACCATGTTTAATTCTTAGACCATGTTTAATTCTTAGACCATGTTTAATTCTTAGACCATGTTTAATTCTTAGACCATGTTTAATTCTTAGACCATGTTTAATTCTTAGTGTTGAAAAGGATTGTGGTATATTGTTTGTTTCAAATATTCACCTAAATTTAACTATCAAAATGTCAATTAAAAAAAAAATACAACCATTAAGGGGAGACAACAAAATAATTGTGATACCATCATTTCACATGTGAAATTTCTACACATTGGAGATTAAAGTTGGATTAGAAATAGTGAAAACAGTGAGACCAATAATCAAACAACTCTTTAGTGAATTAGTACTAAAAATTTGTTTAATGCCTTTTGAATGCTACAAATGTCCAAATGTAATGTTTACAAAAACCAAGAAAGTCTCAAACGTTGGCCCCTAGCACTGGTTTCAATTCAAAAGGAAAGCACAATTGCAATGATGTCATGGTTGACAGTGGACACCAAAAGTAGGCCCTGTAGCTACTCATCCATCAAATGACTTCGACTATTTCAGTTACAGTTAGATCGATAAAGCTTTAAACACTGCAGCCAATACAAAATAACGACATAAGCAGAAGTGGAATAAATAAAAAAAAACATCATTTCTATACAGCACAGTTGTCCATCTTAACTAATGATTCAGACGCTAATAGAAGCTCAAGGCATAAAACAATGCTTTCAAAATTTCTTTTTTGCTAGATACATAGATAGAGACATCAGCACTGTCTGGCCAGGATACAATTGTGAAGTCTGGCCATGATACAATTGTCAAGTCTAGCCATGATACAATTATCAATTCTGCCCATGATACAATTGTCAACTTCAATGGCATCATTTGAAAATAATAAGTTCTTGATGTCTAGCAGTGCTGTACCGGTATGTAGAATCATTATAAAGGTACAAGTGAAGTTCTACAATAAAGGTTATTAAGTTAGCACACTAATATAGTATGTGGGCATACACTTCTAGATTCTAGAATCACAAAGTTAGCACACTAATATATTATGTGGGCATACACTTCTAGATTCTAGAATCACAAAGTTAGCACACTAATATATTATGTGGGCATACACTTCTAGATTCTAGAATCACAAAGTTAGCACACTAATATATTATGTGGGTTTACACTTCTAGATTCTAGAATCACAAAGTTAGCACACTAATATATTATGTGGGCATACACTTCTAGATTCTAGAATCATAAAGTTAGCACAATAATATATTATGTGGGCATACACTTCTAGATTCTAGAATCATAAAGTTAGCACACTAATATATTATGTGGGCATACACTTCTAGATTCTAGAATCACAAAGTAAGCACACTAATATAGTTTATGGGCATACATTTCTAGATTCTAGAATCACAAAGTTAGCACACTAATATTGTTTATGGGCATACACTTCTAGATTCTAGAATCACAGCTAAGCACTGAACTCATTGACCAAAACACAGTGAAGACAACAGAATGTGTGTAGTGTACAGACATGACAGGACACTGGTAGCAGCATATCAGAGAAACAATTGGCCAGACATTGATTGATAGCAACTGAGAGAATCAAATGTGGTGCAGCAGTGCAGATTAGCCCTGCACAAAGGAGAGAATCAAATGTGGTGCAGCCGTGCAGATTAGCCCTGCACAAAGGAGAGAATCAAATGTGGTGCAGTGCAGATTGGCCCTGAACAACTGTGCTTATGAAGCTAACTATACAATGAACCACACAGACATGTACAAAAAACTCACAAGAAAGCATTTACTCTGAAGTAATTTCAGTAAGCATTTGCAGTGGTTCAAAAAACATGACAAAAAAATGTACAAAAAAACCCCACCAAATTAAATGGCAGCAAGGGTCGTGGCCTTTGGGGGCCCTGCAGCAAGGGACGTGGCCTTTGGGGGCCCTTCAGCAAGGGACGTGGCCTTTTGGGGGGCATGCACACCTAATCACATCGGGAGAAAAGAGATGAAATCTGATTGGATAAAACGAAGTTATCATTTTAAGTAAGATTAAATAAAACAAGTAAAAAAATGTAATGAACTTTGAAGCACACTAAATTTGAAACCCACCAATACCCATCGCGTGCCAACTCTCGCCCTTGCACAGGAGAAAGTAGCGATCAGAAAATGTGGTTGGTGATAAAGCAGAATGTGACCAAAAAATCCACAATGAGGTATGAACTCGACCTGCACTTGTTGAACTACACCAACTGACGGCCGTAAATCCAGGGGTAACATGACACTGGCGATTGATCAAAAGAAGAGTCCTATCAATTAATCATTTTATTCTATGTCCTTCCACTTGATCATTTTATGCTATATCCTTTCACTTAATCATTTTGTTGTAAGTCCTTTCAATAAATCAGTTTATTATATTTCCTTCCACTTTATTGCACTCTTTTCAACAACTATTTGATGTCAGTCTAAGACTAAGAGGCACTTCCTTAATTAGATATAAAGCAAATGACTCAAAGTCAAAGCCAATAGGAAGAGAAATCAAGTAAAAACATGTACTCATGTACGATACAATAAAAACATTACCAAACATAAACATGCACATTTTCATAAATGCAGTCAATAAAAGCTTTTTTTTAGTGATTTAAATAATACCATTCTGAATAGACCAAATTTAAACAAAATATGCATCATACAATTACATTTCATTGGACCAGAACATCACGACCAAATTCCTACTGGCTAGAAATAGAAACCAAAGAATACGGGAAGTTTTCCAGATAGTCATACCAACACCATTGGGGAAAGAAAGACGATATTTCATTGACAAGTTGAGACTGCAGTTTTATAGGGTACATAGAATATACTTGAAAATTTTACTTAAATCTTAACAATGCCGTAGTGGCACGATGTTAAAACATGGTTCAATTAAATTAAAGTTTGTACCGTATTTCAAAAAAAAATATAACAGAGGCAGTCGATGAAATTAAGTATGTACGAATGCAGGCTGCATAGGATCTAGCTAGATTATGTCAGCTGAAGCTGCATAAGATTTAGCTAGATTATGTCAACTTAAGCTTCATAACATCTAGCTAGATAATGTCAACTGAAGCTGCATAACATCTAGCTAGATTATGTCGGCTGAAGCTGCATAAGATCTAGCTAGATAATGTCAACTGAAGCTGCATAACATCTAGCTAGATTACGTCAACTGATGCTGAAACTTCGTCTATAGCCACCAAATAAGTCATAAATCATGGATTGAGGGGCGGGGGAATCACCCCACTCGTCCCTAAATATCGACCATTTGGATCTTTGGGATGATTACTGCTGATGTTGATGTTAGTATTAAGGTTTAGATCTGAATACTAAGAAACAAAACATGACTACAGAAACAATCAGTGTACCTGGACTTTCTGAACCATCGCTTATAGTTTAAGGATACTCGTGATGAAATTAATTAGTATAAACAAAAAATTACAATTTACTACGACTGATTTATTTATAAATGAAAATGGCACAAGTCATATTTGATTCCATCACTTTCACAATATACAAATTATATATTTTTTAAAAAGTACTGTTAATGTTAACACTTTTATTGAATAATGATAACCAACGTCATGTAGCACCCCTTGAACATGTCACAAGCACACACCAACACACCTACGCACCAACACACATGACAGTGATCAAATGATCCAGAACAATATCATGTAGCACACCTTGAACATGTCACGGGCACACACCAAAACACCTACGCACCAACACACATGACAGTGATCAAATGATCCAGAACCAATATCATGTGGCACTCCTTGAACATGTCACGGGCACACACCAACACACCTACGCACCAACACACATGACAGTGATCAAATGATCCAGAACCAATATCATGTAGCACACCTTGAACATGTCACGGGCAGACACCAACACACATGACAGTGATCAAATGATCCAGAACCAATATCATGTAGCACACCTTGAACATGCCAAGGGCACACACCAACACACCTACGCACCAACACACATGACAGTGATCAAAGTATCAGAACCAATATCATGTAGCACACCTTGAACATGTCACCGGCACACACCAACACACATGACAGTGATCAAATGATCCAGAACCAATATCATGTAGCACACCTTGAACATGTCACGGGCAGACACCAACACACATGACAGTGATCAAATGATCCAGAACCAATATCATGTAGCACACCTTGAACATGCCAAGGGCACACACCAACACACCTACGCACCAACACACATGACAGTGATCAAAGTATCAGAACCAATATCATGTAGCACACCTTGAACATGTCACCGGCACACACCAACACACATGACAGTGATCAAATGATCCAGAACCAATATCATGTAGCACACCTTGAACATGTCACGGGCAGACACCAACACACATGACAGTGATCAAATGATCCAGAACCAATATCATGTAGCACACCTTGAACATGTCAAGGGCACACACCAACACACCTACGCACCACACACATGACAGTGATCAAAGTATCAGAACCAATATCATGTAGCACACCTTGAACATGTCACGGGCAGACACCAACACACATGACAGTGATCAAATGATCCAGAACCAATATCATGTAGCACACCTTGAACATGTCAAGGGCACACACCAACACACCTACGCACCAACACACATGACAGTGATCAAATTATCAGAACCAATATCATAGAGCACACCTTGAACATGTCAAGTGCACAGACCTACACTTGACAGTAATCAAAGTATCATAAGGGAGATAAAACATTTGTAGATAACAACAGAAATTAGTCTATTGCAATTGTAGACCAGTCCAAGCAGTAATGAATCTCCAAAAGAGCAAACCAAATGTATGCTGAACTTGGAGCAACCTTAAAGGAATACCACAAAAACATGTCTTAGTGACAAGCATACAGGAAGAGATTCAACAATTCCTTGTGAGGAACACCTCATTTGTCGGTGTTGAGAAAATTGATGACGCATGATCTTATCCCCAGAATTAAGGCTGCAGCCGTGCAAGCTGTGAATCTGTTCAACGACAACGCAATGCCTCATTTCCGTGACGTGATCAAGACGAGGCTAAAACATGACGTGTCATTGAAAAGGTTCCTTGCTCAAGCTGCATACAAAGCAAAGATTCCTGTGAGCTGACATGATGGGGATTCCGTTGGTGACAGTGGAAGTCATCCTACACAATAAGCTCCCATCTCCACACATCCCCTCGCACCGGCCAAAATTTAAGTAAATTCATCAATTTTATTACTTCATATCAAATTTGAATAAATTTAAATAATACAACTATTAAAGGTTATACATCAAAGGGTTAACTGTAGAGAATTTTTGTTTCAAGGAAAAAGTAGTTAAAAATGTGAAGTGGAATTTGACAGACTCTGCCGTGCCATGCACGTTCTTCTTGGCGTAGAAATTTACTACTGAATTCAGAAAAATTAAATGAGTGCCCTAAGCGATAAATATTGAAAAGCAAGAACACTAAGTTATGAAAACAGAAAATTTTATGATGATACAAATATGAATTGTAATATTGATGAAATAATTTATAAATTATAGGAAAGGATCAAATTTAGAACGCAAATTTTTTTTGTCTTTAAATAATTACCTGCCACTTCTGGAAGCAATTCTTGTATTTTAACAATTCTTTATACGCAATATCTTGCTTTTTTATAAGGTGAAGAAATACTTTGTGAGGAATTTTTCTGCTTAATTAAGAAAGGATATGAAAAATGACACAAGAAAGGTATTACATAAACTAATTCAAAGTATGCAGACTGTTAGGAACAATGCAGACTGTTAGGAACAATGCAGACTGTTAGGAACAATGCAGACTGTTAGGAACAATGCAGACTGTTAGGAACAATGCAGACTGTTAGGAACAATGCAGACTGTTAGGAACAATGCAGACTGTTAGGAACAATGCAGACTGTTAGGAACAATGCAGACTGTTAGGAACAATGCAGACTGTTAGGAACAATGCAGACTGTTAGGAACAAAGTATTTGAAAGAAAAAAAAAAAAGAATTTCGATTTTAAATTAGTTGTCTGCATTTCATTCACGTAAATTAAGATTTTTGTAAAAAAACACTTAAGTCATTCACACACACAAATTAAATAGTCACGGTTGATAAATCACTTATCATCTATTGTAAAAAAAAACAACACTTAAGTCGTTCACACGCACAAATTAAATAGTCACGGTTGATAAATCACTTATCAGCTATTGTAAAAAAAAAAAAAATAATTTAATCTTCAAACCTGTTATGTTTCTAATAAACAAATATGCACCCCTGATCAATTTTAGCAGTGAAAAGATTAAAAAAATGAAATGCACTAAGAAAATACATCTCACTGGGAATGAAATAAAATGAAAGATAACATTTCAAAAGTGCCATTAACCTGGTCATCAGAATTAGTGAAAAATAATAATTGATAGATTGGAATCTGAGGCTATTTTCAAATAACAACATGAATGATTGTGAAAGCTTTGTGACATTAACGACTACATGGCACTCAAAATCTTCGTATACTTTAAAAGTACTTGTTCGTTTTTTTTTTTATAAAAAGGGAAAGGTATACAAAATGGATACACGCCAACGATTGAAGAAAAAGAAAAGACTAATTACAGTTTGACAGTTATGTTGTAGTTTGACATGATTAACACTTTTAATGTTGTAGTATGACATAATGCACACTTTTAATGTCGTAGTATGACATGATGCGCACTTTTAATGTTGTAGTATGACATGATGCGCACTTTTAACTGAAAGGCTAAACTCCCTGAACTGATTCACAGATAACTGTAATGATATGAAGACTCAAAACATTTCACATTTCACTCAGCCATTTCTTGGAAATGCTTACATCACAATCTCCTTATGAGAATTCATAAATATTAACATCAGTGGTCACATAATGAGCATTTTTGCTGTCCCACTCTCCGTCATTGGCAATGTACAAGTTGCCATTCTCACAAAATGCCATGGCAAAAGGCTGCTTTACAGTTTCAATGGGAAAGTTTAGATCGGCGAGCAAAGCTCCAGTACTGGAAAACAGTTTAATTTTACTGTTTTTCTTGTTGCAGCAAATAATCTTATCTTTTATAGCTGCAAAATTCCACACGTCTGAGGCTCCCGACTCCAAATCCACAAGAAATTCTAATTCAGCATTTAAAGAAATGCATACGAGGCGTACTGCGACATCTGGTAATCGCTCCAGGTAAACAACGGATCCGGTGGGGCTCAGACTCGAGACCAATTCTGGTCCTTGCTTTTGTGCGGTCAGCAGAGCGGTGTGTGCGACATTATCCTGAATGCTCACAAGGTCAATTTTGTTATCAGTGTACGCTGCACATGCAATCACATTGTCTTTCACATATGCCACACCATAATATTGTGCTTCAGAAGCAATATCTCTGAGGTACTCCAATCGCTTTTTTGACACCCGCACTAAGCTAAGTTTCTTGCCTTCCCTGCTGATAACTATTGTGTCAGCATTAAGCCTGGTCATGTAATAGGGTCTGGGTAACTCAAGTCTTGTGACAAAATTGTGAGTCAGTGCATCAGTGGAAGAGCTCGTCCTGGTGACCTCATAGAGTTTTAGACAGTTGTTTATTATGTCAACAACCACAAGGCAGCCAATGTTGTCCAGCACCACCATTGAGCTGATCCCAGCACTGCTTTTGTCACCCAAGGCGTGGGGGTCAAAAGTGCTCAGTTTAGTGATGACAGAATATTTGCCTGGTAGTTTCGGAGGCTGTGAAGTTAAAGCAAAAGGATTGTGCCAGCTCTGCTCCTCAACATCCGTATTGCTATTAATGTGCTGCCCACAGGTTTCAGGTTTTATTTTTTTCAAAGGATCACCAAGTTGCTGTTCCTGCCGCACATGCTGAACTTTATTTTGCTGCTGCTTTTGTTTCTTCTGTTGCTGCAGCTGATGTTGTCGATTCTGAAACAGGCGTTGTTTCTGGGAATTCTGATACATCATAGACTTTGCAATTTTGGACTGGGGCCCTTGAGCAAGCTGCTGCTGCTGTTGCTGCATGAAAGCATTGATCAGGAGTTGGAACTGATGCTGAAATCGATCTTGCTGTTGGTGCTGCTTCTGGGCAACCATTTGCTTCAGCCTTTCAGTTTCCTGCATGAGTTGCCGGAGCTGATAATTCTGACTCGCAGCAAGCTGCATATGTTGGATCTTTTGAGAAATCTCATTTAGTTGCTGCTCCATGCTTCCCTGCGGCACACCCGTAAAGGCATTCATGAGACTTCCTTGAGCATTTTGCAACATCCCCGAGCCGATCGGATTCTGATGAAACGGGAAAGAGAATCCTCCCTGCCTAGACTGAGCTCCAAATTGTTGTTCTGTCCCTTTCAGTGATTTGTTTTGCGACTGGTTCTGATGAATCTGGAAAAGTTTGGACTGTCTCACCGGACCACTGACATTATGAGCCATTTGATTATGACCTTGGTTTTGGGATGTCAAACCGACAGAAGGATTGTGAATAATACTTTCCATAGGCCGTGTTCGACTTTGGTTAGAAAAATTGAAGCCCATACTCCCAAAGCCGGTCTGGCCTGAAGATACAGGATTCATATTACGCATGGTGCCAAAGTTGGTAAGTGCTGGACGCTGCTGCTGCTGAATCATTGTGTTCAAATTAGAAAATCTGAAAGGAACCTGACCAGGGGCTTGAAGCAGGTTTGGTCTGGGTCCTAAAAGTCCAGGCTGATGCACAAATGGGGTTTTAGAAGTGTGAGACATCCCTTTGAACTTAAAAAGATCTTGCTTTTTCTGAGGAGTACTCTGCGTCCCCTGGGCATTCCTTTTCTTTGCAGCAATATGCTGCCCAAAATTTAATTGATCATTGCTGACTTCAGGCTTTAACTTGGCAGCCGGGTTCTGCTCTGGTCCTTTATTTCCAAAATATGGCACGGCGTTGCCATTTCGATTAGCTTTACCACTTGGGAAAGTCTTTTTAGTCTTGCTATCTCTTCCTTTAGAGGACTGTGTTTTGTTCTTTGAATTAGAAAGTTTACCGGCTGAAGTATCATTTTCTGATGTTTCTGAAATACACCCACTTTCTTCGGGGCCAGAATCTGAAAAAACTGGAGATCCACTGGATTCTAGTTCAATCTGATCAAGGTTCAGCAATTCCTTAATACTTTTGGCTATAAGATCATTCTTTAAGCCAAACTTATCAGGACCCTGTTGCTTTTTAATTAAAGAAAGTCGACCGATTTCTCCTACAATCCTGTTAATATCAGACTTTGGAACATCAGCTTGAAAACAGTTGCAAATTTCTGCGCACTGTATTAAATCTTGATTAAGTTTTGCAATTCTATCAGCCATAGCTTGGCAAAATGTGTCATGTGTTTTGAATTTTCCCCAAGCTTCATCTTCCAAGATGCTATCTGTATTACTAATTATGGAATCAACTTCTCCAAGAGATGCTCTCAGTGAGCTGAATTGTCCAGCGCTCTGGTTAATTTCATCGTTCAGCCGACTCTGACAAGCCTCTATAGCGGCAGTGAGACGAGATGCAGCATCACGAACAGCTTGTGCTTTTCGTTGCTGCGTCTGTAGAGAACCAAAAATAAAATCATTTGAATAAATGTGATTGACAAAAGTGGCTCGAGGGGTTTGGCATGAACTGTTTCTATAAATGCATCAGGATGAATGGCTTGGTGAACAAATTTGTATCAACTAATGCAAGCCACTTTAGAAAAAGGTTATAATTTTCTAATGAAATAGTTGATAGATGGATTCCATGTAAAAGTGGTTAGACACAAGATACAGAATTAAATGACATAAAATTTGGTACTATTTACATTTATTTCAAGCATATTGGTATAAAGTCATTTTTTACTATCTTTGTATAGTACGACACTTGACCTGGTGGCCATCTTGCATTAAGAACAAGTTGTCTACATATTTTAATATAAATTTTTTTTTTTACTTCTAGTAAATATAGGCTGACAATTATTATTGTCATGGTCAATGTCAAATAATGGATAAGCATGAAAGCACTGTTATTTTTTTTAGAACTGCTACAGTGAAGTATTTATAAGTCTGTAAAAGAATTGACATTTCTATTTTTCTTATTGCTTGCATTCAGACGCATTGTCAGTTATTAAGTCATGTTGTGTCTGTTAGATTATTTTCTCTGTATTTTGTTTAATATTTAATGTGCTTTCTAAAAGTTTTCCTTAGAAAAGGAAAACTGTAGAGAATTAGTTTGAAAAAAATATATTTCAATTAAAAAGTAGATTTCAGAGGAAATCAATACAACAGATGCTAACTCAAATATTATGTCTTTTTCATGTTTCGTCTGTTACAATTCTAAAATGTATTATTTTTACTATTATGCTTAATATACATTTATAAATACTATTTTTTTCTCCATTCTATCAGCTAAAGACCCAAAACCAAGTATAGTTATTTTATATTGAACACGCTAAATAGCATTTTTCATTTATACTAGATGCAAATTGAAATTGTTTTCTAAAAGTTATGTTCACCACTACCTTTTCAAAATCCTCAAGTCGCCCTTGGATGGTTTTTAGAGTTTTTGACAATGTTCCCACTTCAGTATGCAGTTTTCTCTCTAGAGCTTCTCCTTTGCCTTTTCCTTCTTGACGTTGTTTTTTGAATTGCGTCTTTCCATCATGGACATGAAGACGCTGGAAAAGAACAAAATTATTAAACACATACAGTGACATACGCTCTAATAATAGATTCATTTTTGCCTATAATTTTTAATAGACTTCAACTCCATGTTTTTGAATGGTCAATAATTTAAGGTAATGGACCATTTCTAAAACACATTTAAACCATACTTGCTGCTACATAATAACTGCATGGAAGGGTGAAAATGGCAGAGATTTACAGATTGCTGAATAATGTTAAGGTCCGGACTTATGTTGAGCACTGAGCACACTTTCTATGGACATAAATTGATGAGTGTCCACAAATATAACCAATTTCTAATACAAAATTTGAAGTGACTTGTATAATATAAATATATTTTTATCAAAATCCCACTTAAATTTTTTGTTGGAAAAATATTGTAGAGGATTCAGGAGAAAAACCAATGAATTCTCTCAAAAGATTGATATCTACCTTATTAGGTGTTCCTATAGTTACATTTGGTACATCAGAATTAAAAGTTCCTGCCAAAAACATGTGGTACCGAACTTCAGCATCTTCATAAAACTGTTGCTTGAACCAAACAGTTTCTTGTTCTAGGTATAACTTGTCCTACAAAAGAAAGAGTATCAGGTTTCAATAGTGTGTACATTCAAGCATTTAAAACAAAATCTTTGATACTTAGAATTCAATCATTTATCAAGTTGAAATTTTTAAGAGATAAGAAGAGTTTGACAAAAAAAAAAAGAATTTATTCTATACATTTATTTATCATATTCATCTCTTTTCCTCATGTAGGACTTATTTATAATATAATAGGTGTAAAATGTTTTAGTACATGTTAAAAAAGGAAAGTTAAATGTTTATTACGGTTGCATAAAATTAGAATTTTTAAAAAACTTACATTAGAATTAGACTTTTCTTTACTTTCTGGAAGCTCACATTTAATATCATCCAAAGAAGTCATACAATCACCAGATTCATTGTGGAACATTCTATCTCCACTGCTATCATTTATTGAAAGCTGTTGAAATATTGCTTCTGCTTCTTCAATTTGTGGCTGCTTCAGCCATACTGTTTCAAGGAGGAGTGGTTCCTTTTCAACATCTTTCTCTTCAGAGATATCTGTACCCGGAGTTGCCATTATTGTCCCTTTCTTTTTAAAGAATGCAATTACAAAATGATATCTTTCACTGTTATGACAACACTAAATGCAGTATTATAAAGCAAAAGCGAAATTTTTTTTTAAAATCCATCCAAATTTTTTTTTAAAATCCATCCAAATTTCACATCATAAATACAATATAACTTTCATTTATTCTTAATGTTTCCCTGAACCCAAGTCCACCCCATTCCCTTCTCTCATTTTCAAATAATCTCCCCCCCCCCCCCCATAAAAGTTCTTAATTTTCCACTGCATTGCAGTCACATTTCACCCTCCCCCTCCTCTGCTGTTCCAGTACTTTTTTGTACACCCTCTTCTGATCTGCTCACAAATGAGCTTTCCGCCCACTTCCCCTAAATAAACAATCAAATTATTTATAGACAATTATTTGTTAAAGTCTCACTGGCTTTCTTTGCTCTGTTTGTGTATAAATGGACACACTTTCTCAGTCTGTCAAGAACATTCCACCTCCTAGCCTCCTTGCAATATCTCCAATACATAATATATTAATATATGGATGGTGCCCCAATGTTTGATCATAATTATAATGTCAGAATGGTGCGATTTCATTTTGAGTTATTATTGGTATGCCAACAACATGAGGCATCCTGATCTGATAGGCTAGGGTAAATGGGGGTTCAGTGTAGGCCTGGGCGTAACCTAATAAATAAAAATAATAATAATTAATCCCCTAGTCCTAGCCCGCCTTTCTAACCTAAAGCTGGATAGTGGCATAATAAAGGCAAAATGCAATGGCAACTCAAGGCTAACTATAACCAAAAAATAAATATTTCATTTTGAAGTATGCCTATTTATCTTTATTAATTATTATTAGGTACATTACATGATTACACACACATGACATAGACGGATAGACCGATACATTTAGTTTAGGGATAAATTTAGGACATAAGTTCGCCATGGTAAAAAACGCGGTGCTATCTCTCACGTTTACCCACTTTTCAATAGTATAGTTACAGTATAGTATAAGTTGACTACTAACCTACTACTAGTACTATATCTACTCATCTGCATCTACTTAAACTTGTAGGCTGATACACTGATAGTATAGTAGGGCCTTGGGCCAGGGTCTCGGTGTCAGTTTTGGAAGTTAGTGGGCGAGTTTAGCCAGTAGTTGCCATAGTGTTAACAAGTACTATTACTGAATCACATTAATCCATCTTGAATACATGGGCTAAAGAAATGAACTAAAATTTACTATTAGATAGGCCAATATAATGTATATAACCAGTCGTATTTGGTCGCTATTTCTAAAACTAATACTTACTAACACGGTATCACTTCTTGTTTAACCTCATTATAATAGGGTCATATCGATATGTATTTTGTTTTTGAAACAGTGAATATGAAGCAACGATTATATTATTAAGAGTTATTGATGTGATGCGTTGCCGGACATTGATATGATGAGAATGAAATGACAATCATAAAAATTGTGGTTCAAGGCACAGAACATATTAATATCTACTTCAAAACGTCAAAAGTTTTTCATTGATCATGTTTAAATAAATATATCGCATTTTCTATTTGTAATGATGTTTAAGATTGCATAATGGTACAGTTCATTATGTCAATTTAAGTAATCATTCATTGTTTGGGCTATTTAAGATAGGCCTAATATACTCGAACTTTGAATAGCTGCAGAGGGGGAAATGACTTAAAGACTATGACTTGGCTAAATTATTTCTATTAATAAAAATTACGATGTGTAAGTGTAATATTAACATTTAATTTCGATAATCATCTTATATTTACATGATCATTATTGAGGCTAAGACCTAAGAATAGAATTGATCAATATTTAAATCTGAAGCTTGGTGCAGTTATTATTTCAAATGAAAGAATGATTTTTAAATTAAGTTATTTGTTTTTATGCCCATAAATACGAATACGGCCTATATATATCTGGCCCCAACAATGTGTATTAGTTTTTGTTATTTTCAAGTATTTGAATAGTCGATACCAGTTTTATAAGTCATTGGTTTGCCCATCCAACAGTTTTAAAGCTGCCAGGTTTATCCAAGATAGTGAGTCAAAACAAAGTATTTTGATTTTTTATTTATTTGCTATGTTATCGTGCGAAATAGAATCCATATTATTAACTTTTATTTTCATAGATGAATGGTCGCCACTATAAAGTAACATTGCACTATAACATAAATTAAATACATTAATAATATAGATGTATATGATATTAAGAGTCTGAAAGTAACTAATGCTTCCAAAATTAAAAACTAAAAATAAACACTTAATACGTCAAGGATGCGGCCGCGGTAAGGTCTAAGTAAGCACAATAAGAGAGTGCAAATTAACTGAAAATATAATTTTGAAATGAGCAAACTTAACAGTGGGGTTAGAAATTAAGTTTTGCTAAGTTATTTTTCCCCTTCATTTAGCAAGAAGAAAATAAACATTTTCGAAAATAAAAGCAAAAGAAAAATAACTATTTGAAATCCAACTAAAAACTTCAAAATCATCTACTTCATCATCCAATTAAGTGTGCATAAATATGCTTATTTAGTTATATCTCGACTCCCCCCCCCTCCCCACTCCCCTTCTTCCTAGAGGACACTTACAAGGGGGGTTTCATTAAGCTTTTTTAAAAAACGAATGATCCTTGCCAGCTTGGCAAGCATTTCCGCATTTTCCGTTCAAGTTGCACACACATGCAAATATTTAGAATTGGTTAGCTCATTAAAGAGCTAGGCAAAGTCTTAAAACAAATCCTTTTTACAAAATTTAAATTAAATCATTGTTTCTGAGGTGTATTAGACAGCACTGAGGGCATGACAGGCAGTTCCGGCTCATAACAGCAAGAGCTGTTACAGGAGCTGCTCATACAGGAGCTGCTCATTCCTGCCAAAGACAATCAAGGACTGGAACATGCTTCCGAAAGGAACAGTTGAGGCAACAACACGCATTTGTGTCTCTTGCCGCAGGCCTCCCAAGCCCTAGTGCAACCAGTGAAATATCCTCAGCACAGATAGGCACAGAAACAATGCAAATCTAAGGGGGCGAGGTGGGGGCTTGAGACCCGAATAGTTTAAAGGATATTATTGTCATAATAAGGGCCATCCATAAAGTATGTCATGCTATTTTTAAAACTATTTTTACACCCCTCCCCTGTCACAAATTCCCCCTCTCTCTCTATCCCCCACCCAAATTACGTCACAATTCTTAATTAAAATTCATTATAAAACACACTTCCCTGTTAAATTTAGGCACTGCTAAGTGATATCTCCGGCCATCCATCACAACAGAAAGTTAAACATCGCTGTCAATTTCAGCTTTTATATGTGTGATCAAATATAAATGTGTGACATCACATACGATCTAGCCCTCCTCCCATCCACCTTGTCACAAACAAACCGTCAGACTTTCTTAGGTCTTAGATTCCCCCACACCCACCCCACCCACTCCCGAGCGTGAAGTACTTTCAAACATGACAAATCATGCCATGTACTTAGTTTAGCCCTTCACATTTTTTCTGGACACATAAACAGTGACGTAGCGAGACATGGTGTCGCCCGGGGTGAACTTTGAGTTTGCCCCCCCCCCCCTTTTCCTCAAAAACGGGTAGGGTTTTTGGCAAATGAAACCTGGAATCATTTTTTCTGGACACATAAACAGTGGCGGAGCGAGACATGGTGTCGCCCGGGGTGAACTTTGAGGTTGCCCCCCCCCCCCTTTTCCTCAAAAACGTGTAGTGTTTTTGGCAAATGAAACCTGGAAATAACGAGCCCTGAAATGGTCTTGTCGCTGCCATATGCATTAAATTACTCCAGAAAGTAATACTTTTTTTAACACTAGCTGCACCTATAAATTGCACCACTTTTTCTTAGATTTCAAGGCTTTGAATTATAACCAGTTTTCACTGCTTATAGAAAATGTTTGGTAAATCTGGGTGCTTTAGAGAGAAATAGCAAATGCTTATTGCCTGTGAAAGAACAAGATACCACATCTGTGATAAATAGAAACATAAAAGTATTGCTCCATTTATTTAATGTACGTGAATGTAAATTATATATATATATATATATATATATATATATATATATATATATATAACACTATATATATTTTCTCTATACAACAAGTCCATAGTATAACAATGACAAGAACACAACTAAATTAAGTGAAGGTCAGGATGCAAATATATTTAAGAACTGTAACAATGTTAGGGTTAAGTTGTAGTTATTTTAACATTAAATTTAAAAGTTCATCTTCTGAATACGCATAATAGAAAGGGGTTCATTTTGGAACGGACACCAATAACTCTTCTTCACTTTGCTGACTCTAGTAGACTCTTGGGTTGAAAAGCCCGTAACATATATGCTACTTCCTTGATCGCTGATGATCTGATTTCGAGTTCAGAATGCAAGCGATTAACTCAAGCATCTCCCTACCATTTTCTTCACGCAGAGAGATTCTATTATTGTTTTCATGCCTTTTCTTAATCCTTAATCTTCTCTCTATCGAAATCCATATTGGTCTGATTTTAAAATTGCTATTTCAATAGCATGTTCCTGCTTTTCCTGTAGAAATAATCTGAAGACTGAAGGCCTCTAGGTTCTTCACCACTTTGTCAAGAGTAAAGCAAATTTAGTCTGCACATACTGTTGTGTGGGATTAACTTCCTTAAGTAGATCAGCCCAAAGGTAAAGGTAGCAGATAAACGTGAAACACAGACAGCATGTAAAAGACCCTGTGCTGTGCCTCTTGTATCATCACAGACAGCATGTAAAAGACCCTGTGCTGTACCTCTTGTATCATCACAGACAGCATGTAAAAGACCCTGTGCTGTACCTCTTGTCTCCAAATTTTAAAAATAATCAAATAGAGCTTCATCACCGCCACACATTCATCAAACTCACCTTTCACTGTTTTACCAGCAGCATGATTAGCATTCCAACGTGTTGTTGACAGTCTTTTCAGAATGACCTGAACAGCTTCATGGATTTTAGACATTGGGGCAGCATTTTCGTAGTCTTGAGCTCTGCTCATCATTGTGTCTAGTCCATCACGTTTTCGATCTTTAAGAATGTCAAGACTAAGGTCATCAGCCTCCCTTCCCCAAGAGGGAAGACTCCACGAAACACTTCTCGCACTTCAACTTTCTAATTGTAGATTTTCATATATCTGATCACTTCAGACATCTAATCAGTGTGTGATATATCAAGTGTACTGTCGAACATAATTCCAAAATACCTCGCAGTCACAGCCTTTAAATCCATGATAAGAATCCCCTTCACGTGATTTGCAAGGACATTTATAAATTCATTTTGGGTTTCTGGTGAAATGTAAGTTGCGGATGCTTTTCTTGTAGATGTACTCCTCTTTAGTCTCACTTTGGAGCTCTTTTAACACCGGGTCATATTTAGATAGCATCACGACCATTTCAAGAAAGTTTCCTCTATTCAATGAAGATTAATCTTCGTTGTGCCCACAAAGTCCCAGATATTGCTTTGCAAGAAACAGTGTGATATCCAGCAACCTGTGCAGGATATCCCTCCACTTTTTCTCCTCGCTGTTTATCACAGTATTCCTATGAAGCATCGACTTTTTTGAGTAGTCTAAGTCCTGATGCCATTTGGATTGGTTACATGTGTGGAAAATGATTGGCTATCCTTTTATGAAATTTAGTTATACTGAGCAGCGTGCGTTCTGCAAATATGCAATGTTTCAATTTGGTGTAACTCCCCCCCCCCACCAGATGGTGTCACCCGGTCCGCACCCCTTAGCTACGCCACTTCTACAAATTGTTAAAAAGTCCTTTTTTATTTTAATTTTTTTTATTCATGTACTGAGAATCGCACTACCACATTGTATTTGTATCAATAGAAAGCTTTATGCCTCAGAATTTAGATAAATATAGCTTTCTGTTACTTAAGATAGTTACCGAACAGTAAAATCGGTGTTGAGTCGTGGTCAAAACGGTGTTCTTCTGCTCTAATTATTGGGTCAACTCATTTCTGACAAATCAACCTTGAAAGAATGCATTCCAATTGATTATATGTGTGGAAGATTTACCTGTGATCGGTTATCCTTTTATAAAAATTCGGTTAGACCGAGCAGTGTGTGCTCTGTAAATATGCAATTTTTCAATTTGGTGTCACCCCCCTGAGATGGTGTCACCCGGTGCGGTCCACACCCTCGCACCCCTAGCTCCGAAACAGGGTCCTGCTCATAAAATGGACCCACCCATTCAGTGACGTAGTTTTAATAAATGTTGATTCGGAACTAAATCACACACTTGCTATTCTCCATTCTCCACAAACATCTGCTATATAAATTTGGTAACACAAAGAACCCTTACGATCGTAAGACAGTGAGACCCAAGCCATGGCAAAACACCCTTAATACATGCCCCTGAACTATGTGATAATTCTAATCTAATATTCAATTCCCCTTATATCATGCAATGAACTGCGGGTTCTTAAAATGGAAGAAAACATATTTCCGTTTATTTAAATTGAAAGAATATGATTGTATTAAACAGCTAATATTTTGAAATATTTTTTGAAAGCATATAGAATAATAAATCTTTATTTAAAATGCGTCCATAAAAAAACAACAAAAAAAACAAAAAAAAAAAAAAAAACAAAAAAAAAAAAAAAAAAAAAAAAAAAAAAAAAAAAAAAAAAAAAAAAAAAAAAAAAAAAAAAAAAAACAACAAAAACAACAACAAAAAAACAACAACAAAAAAACAACAAAAAAACAAAAACAACAACAAAAACAACAACAACAACAACAACAAAAAAAAACGCACAGGAAACCTCCCTTTAATAGATGTTTGAAAGTGCAGCGTTCTGGATAAACGCTTTGACTATTTATAATTATTTATAATGCGTAGGCCTACACCAGGCATACACAATATGCGGCCCGCCAGCACCCACTTTGCGGCCCGCGAAGTAACGAAATATTCTGTATTCTTATTATTTTCTTAATAGCTTTCACCTGTCCTATTTTCTTTTTTAAATTACAGTTATTTTTAACACAATGTTTGTAACTATACGATACAATTTTAAAAAAAAGGCTTAAGTTACTTAAGGTGCCGTCCATAGAGTACGTCACGCTATGTTTGACCATTTTACCCCCCCTCCCCCGTCACAAACTGTCACAAATCTCCGACCCCCCCCCCCCCCACGTAAAGTACGTCCCACAGTCGAACAAATTAAAAAAAAAAAATTAATACCTCATTTAAATTTAATCTAAAACACACTTCACTATTAAACTGTATTAAAATATAAAATTTCCACTTAAAAGAACTATCACATTATTAAAATTATTTTAATCGTAGAATAGTTAATTGTCAACAGTTGTCATAGTTATACGTTGAAGCAGTAACTCATTCTAGATTGAATTTGAAAACAAAAGTTGCAAAAATTAGATTAGACAATTTTATAATACACATCATTTATCTGCTGATTTTTCATTTACAAAAGGTGAGGTCAAGTTTTAAATAATTTCCGATTATGCAATCTTTTTACACAGGATAAGAAGTAGATTAGCGAAACTTGACCTCATCCAGTGATTAAATAATAAAAAGGAAACAAAACAATTTGACTAAAAAAGACTAGATTGACAAATTTTAATTATGTGACAAACTCTTGCGCTATATTCATTCTGTTTATTATGGGCCTGTGAATTATGTTTAATTCAAAAATATTCACTGGACATCATCCATCCATGGTGAAGTGAAGTGTTCATCCATAGTTACGACTGGCATCAATCTTTCACCATCATCGTTTCCTGGAAGCATAATCGCAGACAGATCAACTTCATCTTCATGTAGCCACTCAACATCATCTGAATGTGCTTTTTCTCTTCTGGCAATAACTGCCATGAGTAAATTTGCCTTCTAGCAGCGATTCTCAAAGGACTGATGCGTTTTATCTGAGTTGATTCTGGAACAGTTTGGGTTGGAACATTCTCCCGAGCCCGATCTCTGTGTTGTCCTGCATGTTTCTTCGACATTGTTTGTGAGGCAAAGTATAAGTGACATACTTTGCAAATTCGATCAATTAAGCTGGTCTGCAAATATGGACATTAAAGATCACATATAATTTTTACTTTGAAAACTCCTGTTGATCTCGGCAAGGATATACATAAAACAAGGCTTCGCAACAGCTTACTAGCGCCCCTAGCGAGAGTAATCGTGAACAACACATTCAGGAGATAAGCATTTCATGCTATTTTGACAAATGTTTCACAAAATTTTTGAAATTATCTTTAAAGCTATTACATTCTACTAGAAAAATAAAAAAATAAATTAGAAATAAAATTTAAAAAAAAAAAAAATGTGTGACGTCACACATGGCCTGCCCCCCTCCCCCCCTGTCACACTTTCTTATCCCCCTCCCCTAAAAAAAAAAAAAAAAAAAATAAAAAAAAAAAATAAAAAAAAAAAAAATTTGTTACCTCACCACTGGCCTCCCCCCCCCCCCCCCTTTCCCCCTTTCTTATCCCCCCCCCCCCCCCCCCTTTTTTTTTCTGGAGCGTGACGTTCTTTATGGAGGGCCCCTAAACTATACTACTTAATATAATTATTTTAAGTAGTTTTCAAGACAATGCATTGAAGCTTACGGTAGGCCTATCATTTGGAGAAATGATGCAAATAAAATGAGCTTTTTTTAAAGTTGTTGCATTTTTAATTGAAAAAAAAAATATTCTTGAAAGTGCTACACGCTAGAGACGCTAGTGATAACATTAACAATATGATAAACAAAAAAATTAACACATGTGACAGCATAACGTTAAACTTACAAAAAGAGGGGGGGGGGGAATTGTAAGGGTAGTAAAAAATATTTAAATAACTGAATAGGTCATAAGATAAAAAAACTAGAATATCACTAAAATAATTTTTAAAGTCACAGGTTTAATAATAAAACGTAGTCTTAAGTCGTAAGCCCTATTTTAAACAACATTTTTTAGCTCTCACTATCATTATTAGTGATACCATTTTGCGTCAAAATGAGACTAAAAAATTAAACCGTGGTTTGGCTGGGGCTCCCATAAAAATAGCTTATATCGGTAAGAAAAATAGTCTGAATAGTTGGACATTTCCACAAAATTATATAGGTAGCTCATATAGCATATATGACATAACCACAAATATAAATAAGTGCTAATAATAAATATAGATATAATATAATCAAATTTAAAATCTCGAAATAAAATATATTAATTTATTTATCAACGATATTATTTTTGAATTCTTGAATTTACTTACCATCACTCATTATCAAAATGTTCTAATAATATAAAATAATTTGTAAAAAAAAATGAATCAACATATTTGTGTATTTTAATGTTTAATAATTAACGGGTCGCTAAAGAGTTTATAATTAGGCGATTTCATTTATTGCATCGGACCAATCTAGCAGAACACGTATTTTCAGTAAACTAAAGTTATCTTCTCTTTTCATGAAATCGAGGCTGTGTTGTTACAGTTATAATGGGCAACGTCAGTAACAAACAGCGGATCATAATCAATCGGCACTTCATAGACAGGCATATCGATCAGCTGATCGTATCCGAAATACCATAATTTTATACAATGGGAGCTATCCAAACTTTAAAGAAATAAAGCGAGTGGAGTGAACTTATTTACACTTTTTCACCATGGCCGGGTTTTACAATCTTGATCACAAGGAAGTTATCCGTATAAAAGTTAAAGTGAGTTTATTTTATGATTGTTTTTAATGTACTGCTACTACCCTGGCTATTCACTATAGTCAGACTACAATAAATAGCCTAGAAGCTCCCAACAATTTTTATTAGCAGAGCCCTTTTAAGAATTAATATCTAGTGAACTCAATGGCTGTGGCTATTCGGACCCGTGAAGTGAGAGTTTGGGTTTATTAAAAAATATTTTAAAATTATTGTAGGGTTAGTGTTAGTAAGAGTAAGACAAAATTTGGTATCAAATGAAAGACAATTGACAATTGAATGGACTATATATTTGTAAACTTACTTATTAAGTTTAACTAAAATAAACTACCACGAAAGACATCCAAATAACAATTACTCAAAATGGAATCGGAAACGCATTGCTGCTATTCGGACCCGGGTCCGTTTAGACTCAATGCTATTCGGATGTCTTTTGTGGTGGTTTATTTTAGTTAAACTTAAGAATTAAGTTTAAAAACATTTTGTCCATTCAATCATCTTTCATTTGATACCAAATTTCGTCTTACAACCTAACACTAACAGTAATATATTTAAAATTTTTTTTAATCCCAGCCTCTAACTTCTCGGACCTGGGACCAAATAGCCACTTCGGGACTCAATAGGGGAGCCACTTAGTTCTATTTTACCCTTTGGTTGTCTTACACTTACAGTTTTACAGAATTTAAAGTTAAAAGTGTTCAGGCTTAGGACTGTCTTTGGAGTTTCCTAGAGGGGCTGCAGAGCCACCGAGAAGTGCTCGCTTGAGGAATAACGGCTCTGCTGAGCACAGGTTTAGTCAGGGTCCTGCTGAGGAAAAGCAGTGCTAAACCATGGGCGCCCGCAGAAAACTTTCTGGGGGGGGGGGGGGGGGAAAAAAACAAAATTAATTGTCAGGGGGGGGGGGTTTTATTGTATTTTTATGTTGGTGTGGTAATTTAGTAATGTTTTAATGTAGTTTTAACTTACTGTAGTGTATTTATATGGTGAACGAATGGGCAGGACATCAGCTTAGTTACTTTCTCTTTATTTTCTCTTTATTTTAATACATTTTTTGTCTATTTTTGTCTAAATTTTTTTTATCCAATCAATCCAGGGGGGGAGTTGACACAAGTTCCCCCCCTCCCCCCGCCACCCCTTGCGGGTGCCCATGTGCTCAACAATATAAAATATAGAAAATGTGCTGACCATCCGAACCATTATAAATACCCCTTTGGCTACCCTAGCCCCTAGTCTTAATAAAGTACCGGTACATGTCATTTTATTGGGAAGAAGTGCAGTTCAGGTGTAAATTTTATCTCTTAATGAATTTTGTAATTTGCATGTAAACTTCCATGTTTTCTTTATTAAATTAACTTATAATTTGAACTTATAAAAAAACATTCAGAACTTGATCTATTGTTAAAGTAAGCTACTTAAAAGTAAGCCCTATGTCCTTGTACCTACTATAGACTATACAGTATAATAGAAGACTAGATTCCTTTCAGTGTGAGTACGTTTAGTCTTTATTAATCCTGCTTGAGTACAACAAGTTGCAGATTCAGCTTCTATGTGTATAGATAGGGTTACTATATGTCATGATTTAACCATGATCATTCTAGTTTAGAAGCTTTGTCCCAGCATACCGGTTGATTTGAACATTATCAACGTTTCAATCTCAGTTCGATAGAAATTAATTTTTACTGTTTATGTTTGATAGTCTAGAAGTTGATCATGCTGTTAAGATAAGAACTTGTTTGCATTAAATTCTATATTTTATGTAACTAATTTAAAATTATCTATGTAAAGACTGTCAACGTCTTAGCTTGAATTACGAAACTTGCATTTATTTACGAATGACTCTGCATGTTAATTTGAGGTGAATTTGAATATGAGGCCTGGTCTAAATATTCTGCTTACAACCTATGACCTCCATCTCCCTTCCTATGAGAAGATAGAAGTAATAGGCTGGAATTTACAGTCAGTTGTCTTCTCATAAGTATGATGAGGTCTCCATTATTTACATGTTCAGATATTTTCGACTGTAACGAACGTGTGTGAATAGGAAGTGAACAAATTATTGTGCACACGCACTAAAACCATAAAAAATTGCGCCCTGGAAAACCAAAATATACATGTTGCTCATTCAACCCCACACAACCCCTCATTTCAACATTGTTCAACAATATACTAGTAACTAGTAGGCTTACACTTCATTTTTTGGCATATGTTGACCTAATTCACAGATTTAAAACCATAAAAAAGTAATGGAAATTTAGATTTGCCCCTGATTTCCAGGGACAGTGCCAAAAAGCCTGATGATGTTCAGGAATAGATACAAAGTTGTTTAATTTTATTGTTTTTTTAAAATAGTGCATATTAAAATTTTCAAAATTGTAACTTTGCATTTATTCTGTATAAATGTTGATATTCAATTAAGCTAAAATTGAATTTATTCGGACATTTGAAATGGTTATTGCCAGGCATTAATTACATACATGGATGGGATTTCCAGAATATATAAATGTATTTGGAATAATTTGATATTTTAGAAAAATATCACGCAAAAAGAGACATCTGGTACAATGCATATTTTAACAGTTTTAGTCCATTTCATGATTAATGATCAGACCCAGAATGTCTTGCAAGCCGCATTTAACATCTCGACAGGCCACGTGGCCCACAGGCCATAGTTTGTCCACCCCTGTATTTAACAAAAGAAAAACATCAACCCCATTACAATTGTAAATAATTTATTTGTTTAAACAAGTTTAGGTTATTGCACTTGTTATCAATATTACGCACTCCCATGACATTGGGTCTTTGACCTTAAAAAAAAGCTTTCATCCAGTGTAGATAAGGCTGATAAGGATAAGATAATGATGGAAAAATATAGCACATTCTCTCAAACATGCATTAAAATAAGCAGGGGGTTTTTCATCTGATATAACATGTGCACTGAACTGACGGAGGAGTTGCTAAGAAAACAATTGTAAAAGTGAGGCTTCAAATTAAGTTTAAAACATTTACTTGGTCACATACAGCAGTTCAATTGAAACGTGAGTAGATCATTCTTGACCTGCTAAACACAAACTTGTACAGCTGTTCCATTGAAACGTGAGTAGATCATTCTTGACACGCTAAACACAAACTTGTACAGCTGTTCCATTGAAATGTGAGTAGATCATTCTTGACACGCTAAACACAAACTTGTACAGCTTTTCCATTGAAATGTGAGTAGATCATTCTTGACACGCTAAACACAAACTTGTACAGCTGTTCCATTGAAATGTGAGTAGATCATTCTTGACACGCTAAACACAAACTTGTACAGCTGTTCCATTGAAATGTGAGTAGATCATTCTTGACACGCTAAACACAAACTTGTACAGCTTTTCCATTGAAATGTGAGTAGATCATTCTTGACCTGCTAAACACAAACTTGTACAGCTGTTCCATTGAAATGTGAGTAGATCATTCTTGACCTGCTAAACACAAACTTGTACAGCTGTTCCATTGAAATGTGAGTAGATCATTCTTGACCTGCTAAACACAAACTTGTACAGCTGTTCCATTGAAATGTGAGTAGATCATTCTTGACCTGCTAAACACAAACTTGTACAGCTGTTCCATTGAAATGTGAGTAGATCATTCTTGACCTGCTAAACACAAACTTGTACAGCTGTTCCATTGAAATGTGAGTAGATCATTCTTGACCTGCTAAACACAAACTTGTACAGCTGTTCCATTGAAATGTGAGTAGATCATTCTTGACCTGCTAAACACAAACTTGTACAGCTGTTCCATTGAAATGTGAGTAGATCATTCTTGACCTGCTAAACACAAACTTGTACAGCTGTTCCATTGAAATGTGAGTAGATCATTCTTGACACGCTAAACACAAACTTGTACAGCTGTTCCATTGAAATGTGAGTAGATCATTCTTGACACGCTAAACACAAACTTGTACAGCTGTTCCATTGAAATGTGAGTAGATCATTCTTGACACGCTAAACACAAACTTGTACAGCTGTTCCATTGAAATGTGAGTAGATCATTCTTGACCTGCTAAACACAAACTTGTACAGCTGTTCCATTGAAATGTGAGTAGATCATTCTTGACACGCTAAACACAAACTTGTACAGCTGTTCCATTGAAACGTGAGTAGATCATTCTTGACACGCTAAACACAAACTTGTACTATTAGTATATCCCTATAGAAATCTCAGTTATCATAAGAAAGTGGAGGATATAAAATGCAATGCATCTTGATGGTATTAATTGATTTGATGTCTGCCAATTATGCTAGCCATGACTTATGTAAAATTATTTAAGCCAACTACTGTCTGACTTAGGTAAACATATTTCAGCCAACTACAGTCTAATTTTGGTAAACATATTTAAGCCAACTACAGTCTGAATTTTGTAAACATATTTAAGCCAACTAAAATCTGACTTTGGTAACCTATTTAAGCCAACTACGGTCTAATTTTGGTTAACATATTTAAGCCAACTACAGCATAGAAAGTACTGTAAATCATAGTCAGCCCTTAATTTAAAAAAAAACTTGTTGCTCCTTTAAGTTAGAACATGAGAGAAGTACTTATTTCTGTCTAAAATTCTTACATATTCAACTATGTGATTATCATCATCATTTATGTTGATAATCTATTATTATTATTGTTCCTCCTTGGCATGTGAAGATGACCAAGGCTTGAGTAATAGCCTTGACTTAAGCTGTATTTTATTTAAAGTGAGGGAAAGTTGTTCAGTTCATCAGCCTTACTTTCTTGTCCTTGCCTATTTGGTCCAATGGCAAGACTTGGTCAAGACAATGGGAAGATAGGCCAGAATGCAGTGGATGGCTAGCAGTGTTTCTTGTGTCTCACTGTGCTCTTAATGCATTCGACATCCCAGGAGTTGTTGGAATTTTCATTGTGTCAATGTCATACTGCTTATGGGACTCCATCTCCTGGTTTGATGTCAAAATTTCCCTTGTCCTAGATGAGCTGCCATCCAAAGCTAAAGTGTCTCATCCACTCAAGGTGTTAGTGGTATTTTTGCTTGTCTGGGCTTTTGCTGGGGTCGAACTCCAGTCCACAAGCTTGGGATTGAATCACACATCTACATAAGAATACACTGATAAGATAAGATGCTTTTATTAATCCAAATACAGCTAGTGCTCGACTTAAGACCTATGCAGCTTACGATTATTCGACTTAACGACCACATTGAAAATTATGATTTATAACAAAAATAAAAGAAATTTATGATATAATTTAACTTAAATATTTTTATAACATTACTTCACATAACTGCACACATAGCGTACTCAACTTACGACCAGTCTCTCTGAACCGATCGTGGACTCGAGCACTAGCTGTAAATGGAAATCTTGAGAAGATTGATTATATCCTTAAATCTGCTATTAGTTTATAAAAGCTTTTATTTTTCTGAACAGAAATGTGATGGAAGAATGCAGCCAGAGTATAAAAAGTTCTCCATTGACCCGCAAATAACGTCTTTTGACATGTTGCGAGGAATTCTGGCCAGGGCTTTTGAAATCAACAGGTAAAAACAGGCTAAACTTGAATCACTCATTCTCTCGTATTAAAGTTCATCTGTGAAATAAAATGTTATTTTTCATATTGGCGATTCATTTCATTGGTAGATAATTTGAACCATTCTTAAGCCACATTTTAAAAGCAGCCTGGATTTAAATATGTTTGAAAATTTCCTATATCCATTCTTGAACATTTTTTTCTAACTTTCTATTTATTTTACTACTTATTTGCATAATATTTTCATATTAATTTGAGCACATATTTAGCATGTATATGATTCACAGTAATACTATTTTTGTGAAGTCTAAATGTAAAAAAAAAAATCTGAATAAAGAAAAAACAACCATTAATGGATTTGTACAATTATATCTTCCACAGCGACTTCACCATCAGCTACCTGGCGAGAGACTCAGAAGGGCAGGCCGTTTACTTGTCTATGCTCTCTGACTGGGACATGGATGCAGCATTTCAATGTGCCGCTGATCCTTGCCTTAAGCTCAAGGTTGACTTGCGACCATTTGAAGAAGGTTTGAAAGTTTAAGAAATAATCTCTTATAGTATCTAGAAGTAATCTCTTATGGTATCTAGAAGTAATCTCTTATATTATCTAGAAGCATTAATTTAAGCAGTTGTATTATTGTATTTTACCTTTTTTTTTTTGAAGAGTAAAATTATCAGTTGAAAGAAAGTTTATCAGCTAAGCTCAAATAAAAAACAAAAACAAATTTGTATACGTTTTATATTATCGGGCATTTTTTTGTGCAAGATTTCTTTCATGTTATTTACCCTCTTAAACACTAGGTTTATCTCCTATTCTGTCTGTAGTGTCGTGTAAGTTCCTGATATCCTACAAAATATATAGGCCTATGGTCTAAACAAAGCTAATTTAATACTTGGATTATAATATACTTCATATTTAAAAACAGAGTCAATAAATGACTCCAAATATGTTCCTGAAAAATTTTTGTAAGCTCTGAGATTTGGCAGTAATTGATTTTTTAAAAACATCGAATATCAGAGTTGCACCAGGTGATGTACCCATAATGGGTAATCAGACCCCCCTCCCCCATTAATATATATACAGATACAGATAAAACGGACACCCAGACCATTAAAATTTTTCCGTGAACTTGCAAAGGCTTCAATAGCTTAATGTGAGAAAACCAACTCAACTGGTGATTTTTTTCTTCTCTAGATCTTACCACACTAGCATGATACTTCCATTTAAAAATATTAAAAAAAAATTGTACTCTCTAAAACTCTCTTGGGCCAGTTAGAATTTTTGCCAGTCTAGCTCTAAGCTGCGCTCCACAACCCTGAATGACACAATTTTTTAAAAACATGATTTGTTTCTTTTATTGTGCCAGAATTAGAAGACTGGGATGTTATAGCTCCAGCAGAAATTCCTCAACATCGAATCACAAGTTTGCTGGATAAGTCTCTTTTTGGTACAATAACTGGCACCATTACACAGAACTTGGGCAAGACGGTCACTTCTGTCAAAACGGCTATCGGTAAGTCTGCTAATCTTGAGGATGATAGAAAATATCTGACCTATTATCCATTACTGCCAAAGGCAACCACTCTGTAATGAGAAATATTTAAAACAAGATACTTTTTAAGCTGAAGTGAACAAAACTGTACAATGGATGATTCAGCTTTTATTTTATCATTAGCTATTTCCTGTCAACCAAGTAGATCAAAGTGCCTATCTCTTTTAATATAATTTTCTTGTGTTTTGTATTGTTGCAGAAAAAGTTTTTTCAGTTAAAACGGTAATTCTGTTGTCTTGCTTAGCTTTTTAAGCATCAGCATATTGAGTGCTATATATTTTGTTCTGTATATTTAGTAATATATTATATAATTCTTTCACACTGCTTAGACATTGTTATTATTTGTAAACATAGTTTAAATTCTAAAATATAATAAAATTAAAAATGTAACCACCCCCAGATTAATTCTAAGTCTTATTTCACTGTTTATTTCTTAGGTTTAAAACAAACAGATGAAGTGATAAAACCATTGAAACCACTAATTCTAAGATTTATTTCACTGTTTATTTCTTAGGTTTAAAACATACAGATGAAGTGATCAAACCATTGAAACCACCAATGTCAGATATGGAATTTAAGAACTATATGGACAGTGAGGGCTTCATGGTTCGACCTAATGATTTTCGCCTCTCTGTGTACCAAGGTGGAATAGAGCCATCACTGCGCCGGGTGGCCTGGAGACACTTGCTCAATATATTTCCGGCCAGCATGTCAGGGCAGTGTCGGTTCGACTACATGAAGCGTAAAGAAGAAGAATACAGGAAACTGAGAGAGGAATGGCACGTAAGGTTCAAAAACAACACGGCCACCGAAGAAGTGAAATATGTGGCGAGCATGGTAAAAAAGGATGTTCTGCGTACAGACAGGTGCCACGGATTTTATGCCGGCAATGATGAAAACGAAAACACCCTGTCCTTATTTCACATCCTGGTTACTTACGCGTTGACGCATCCCGATGTCTCTTACTGCCAGGGGATGAGCGATCTGGCCTCCCCGTTGCTGTACACGCAAAAAGACGAGGGTCAGGCCTACGTTTGTTTTTGTGCTCTGATGAACAGGTTGAGGAGTAACTTTACCGTAGAAGGGAATGCCATCATGAACAAATTTAAGCACTTGTCTGACCTCTTGGCGATGTACGACCCGCCCCTTCAAGCGTATCTGGTTCATAACAATGCCGGGGACATGTTTTTCTGCTATCGCTGGTTTCTTCTTGAACTGAAAAGGGAATTCCCTTTTACGGATGCGCTGTATGTTTTAGAAGTGATGTGGGCCACACTGCCTCCGTCACCACCTGAAGTGGAGTTGGCTTTAGTTGATCCCGATTATTCGTGTAAACTTCTGTCCAGTTCTCCCTGCTCACCAACATTCTCCCTACAACATGCAATGTACGCCAAACTTCTTGCCATGAGAAGGGTCGGAGCCCTCCACAGGGTGGCAAGAGCTGCTGTTCCTATCCAAAGTGTCGACCTTAGGACGTCAGCTAACGATAATTTGAATGGAGAATCCCCTGGCCAGATCCAGCTCAAACCTATTTGCTTTGTTGCCTCTTTGGATACATCCCCTGCAGATATTGAAGACAAAGTAGCGGACTTCCCCGAGGTAGAAAATCCTATGACACACTCCATGCAGATGAAATCCAATAGTATTGACCAAATCCTACAAGAAGACTCGTCAACAGAGAATGAAGAAGAAGAAGAAATCAGTGATGGGAAATTTTGTAAGGTGAACGGTAACTCCATTAAAAATGGCTCCTGTGGCAGAAACAATAAAAATAATGTCAAAAAATGTGATTCTCAGTCAGAATCAGACTCAGTTGATGTGGAACACAACATGTTGACCGTTCCCAAGGACAGCTGTAAGGATTATCACAACACATTACAATCAATTCCTGTTGAAGAGAGCACCAGTTTCAATTTTTCCACCATAGAAGATGATCGCAGCGACCGGAGCTGGAGTGTCAACTCAGCCGTGTCTGACTGCTCTAATGATTCTGAACGACAAACTCAATTTTCTTTATCTCTCGATTCGAATATTAACAACTCTTTAGAACTTGTGGAAAACCTAAACAACCTTAACATAGCCGATCATTTTAAGGGACCCGTCAAGACGGCATCTGATAGAAGCAATGTCTACTATATCAAGTCAGAAATACAAATTAGCAAAAATGATGAGGAGGCGCATAATGAATCCAACTCTGGAATCTTCCAAAGTATGAAGCGCTTTCTCGCCTCTCCAAAACGAAAGCAAACATCATCTCCAGAAGTGACGTCATCTCCACAGTCTTCGCCCAAAAGATCTGCTGGTCTTTCTTGTAAACAGCTTTCTTCAAGTCCCATTTTGTCTCCCGGTCAGGAGGACATCCCAAAGCTGACCAAAAACTTATCAGACACACAAATTTCAGATGGCAAGGAGGCTACCGAATCACTAGACAGCTCGATCAATAGTGCTTCTGTCTCGTCCAGCTCCCATGGACCACCTCCAATCCGCGACCCGTCAAAACTTCCCCAGCCACAGGATTTTGGGTCAGGAAACCCATTCCTTATGTTTGTTTGCTTTACTTTGCTGAGCCAGCACAGAGACAAAATAATTCAGCAAGGAATGTGCTATGAGGACATCGCCATGTACTTTGACAGACTTGTACGCAGGCATGATGCAAACAGGGTGTTGCATCACGCACGGCACTTGTACACAGAGTATCTAAGAGCGCAGCAAGCCAATGTGGAGAAGGAAAAAGATGTCGATGAACTGGGGTTAAGCTGCTGAGTTATCCAACATAGTTCTTTACAATCTTAATACCGGTATTATATTTATCGCAGTGGAACAACTTTACTGAGTCAAGTCAAAAAGATTACTGAACACAGACTTTAAGGTATGAAACTTAACCTGGGTTCCAACAGTGATTTTAAGTACACACTTTAACTGTTAACTACCACTTTTTGATGTATATTTCTTGGAGATATTTTTTCCCTGTTGTATAATGTAAAGTTTAAATGTTTTGATATATTTAAGCACATAAAACTAAGCAACTAGAAATTATTTATGGAAACATAAAAAAATTAATTCCCTTTACATTATAAAATATGCTCTTGCTTAAAGAAAAAAAAAAGGAAATTTCCACCAATGACTATATATTGGACTGCGGAAAGGAAATAATGAATTCAATTTTTTTTTCCTACTCGGTAATTTTATATACAAAAAAAAAAAAAAGAATAAATATATCATTTGTTTTCCTCTCACATAAATCTTCCAGTATAAAAGTAATGAAGTCAATTCAAGAAGCTTTTAGTATTGACTCCAAACTATGTTATTTGACTTGCTCTTATTAAAATGAGCTTACGTTTTTAAACTCGCGCTGTTCAATGAAAAGTCAACAAAACTAGTCTTGAAGTGGCCAGGCTGAAATAGTATCATAGCATTTCACTAGAATTGTTAGAATCTGCGGTTGATTCTATTAATATTGTGTCAACTGTGATCTGTTGTTTTACTAGCATTCTTTAAAATATTGGCTTTTAATTGTACGTATGAAATATTTAAATTTCCTGTACAGTAATTGCGTAATTAATTATTTCATTCAATAAGGCTCAGCTTTGAAGCGCTGTATTGCTTTTTAATGCCACACTTGTCGTGTGTCTTTCCTCTTATAGCCGTAGAAATACTCACTATCATGACAGCATTTCATTCTAGCTGTCCTCTGAACATGTGCTCTATAAATCCTTAATAGTTTGCCAACTAAATGGAGAACATTGGTTCAATTTAATAACCCATAAATTTATAAAATGTGTTATCAAGCAACGTGGGGGGTGTGCACGGTCTGAAAATTTGACAAAACATGCATTCAAGCAACGCACTTTATGACAATTCCATTTTCTTTCATGCCCCTCAACTATATTAATATTCTAATGACAAACCCGCTTTTACACCGCAGATCAATTTCACCAACTAGTTCAGAAAAACAAAAGAAACTATTATGAACCAAACGCACTTGCGATATTTTTTAAAAGAATCTCATTTAGCGCAGTTATCGGGCATTTTATCTTCCCCTTGAAAAACAGGAAAAACGGATTGTTGGGTTTGAAAATATGATATAATGTTTTGTCATTGGCACCGAGTCTGTGTGCCAAGTTTCATCTCGATAGGTTGATGGGAAGTGGGACAATTAGCCGTGCAAAGTTTTTGCCAGACCACCAGCCACCCACAAACAAAAGTGAAGTTAATATAAAGGATTAAAAAAAGATCTTTTATTTTAGGAGCATCACATCTTCTTTGGAATAGGGAGATCAGGAAAATAAATTGCAAAAATGATAGCTGGTGGGATTTAATTTGCAAGCTCCAGAGCTTGGTGACTCAAAGGAGAAACAAACGGTCTCTAGTCTGAAGCTACATTAATGGACTTCACTTGATAGCAATAGTAATGCTACCTACTCCCACTGCTCGCATGCCCCAGAGATGATGTCCCAGAGCTGGATCTTAAGGAGACATTATAAAGATATTATCCGCCTGAAACCAGGTCCCAATTTATTAGGAAAATGGAAGTTCTACTGCAGGGCTGTTCAACACGGATCAACGGGCCGCATGAGGCCATTGAGCTGATTTTAAATGGCCTGCCACAGCTTGAGACATTTTTTTGATGTGTAAACAAAAATAAAAAAATTTTAGGGTGAATATATGTTCAAACCACAAACATTGATTTAATACAGTTGGAAAATCACCTCAGAGCACAGGAGAAGTTGCAACATGGAAAAAGGGGTGGTGACAATAGCTAAGGATTGAGATGGCTGGACAGGTAGTAGTAATTATATTAAGAACAACGGCAGAGCAACCATTTTGGGAACCACGTTGACATAAAATCGGATACTATCTTATCCTTTCTGTTGCTTGTACAGGGGAGGCCTTGCGTGGTTTGGGTATAATACTGACGGCATTGAGAAAGATGAATCGAGAAACCAAAAGTATCTTAATGTTAGCTATTTGGTCATTGTAAAAATGTCCATGACCCCAACGTTGGGACCAAGTTAAATGAAATAGACAGATGAGCACCGCATGTTGACGCCTGCTCTTTGTGGGTTGATTATAATATGACAGGAAGGAAAGTCTTAGGGTCAGAGTAACTGAGATGGGAGCCGGCGTACTAAAGGTGTCTTCATTGAATGACAACACTTGACAGTGTGAACCATTCATGTCACCATTTTATTTAAACAAGTAGTCTAGCCAGGTCTGGGAGTGAGTGTGTCCATCCAGGATTGTTGTGATGTTTGGGACAAGCACCTGGTATTCAGAGATCCTAGTATGAGATGAGTAGAAAGCAGTATACAAGCTGTGTTTGTTTCTAGTTAGTGCAGTTCAGTCAGCTTGGCATTGTTAAAGAAAGTAGGAACGATTCTTGAAAGTATTTTTTTTAAAAACAAACACGTGTGGCCAAATATATCCTGGATGACGTCTTGTTTCTTCTGTTGAATTTCCACAACCATGGAAATGTTGAATGAAACAAACTTTTGACCAATTTTTTAGAAGCACACTACATCAGTGAAGCTGGATTCTCTGTAATGAACATCAAGTCCAAAAATACGTTAGGCTTTGACTGGTGAATGTTAAGAAAATCTAGTGAGGGCAGGAGCTACTAAAAACTACCTCAAATAAAGAAAATTGCACGTACATTTCAAATAAAAAAATATATTATTTAAAGGGGCCACAGTTTTTACTCGCTTTATTTATATTCTTCATGAGCCGATAATGCTATTGGATATATTTGATTTTTCATGTATAAGGTAAAAATTATTAAGAATATGAATAATTTTCAAAAAAGTGAAAAAGAAATCTTTGTTTAGCGATGTCATATTTGTCCCTCGGGTTCACGTAAAAAATGTATTGGCCCACATAGTTAAAACTATCCAACAGCACTGATCTACGGTATATAATAATATCAACTAAATTCAATATACCAGTGTTAGATAGGCATAACAGATTGATTTAAAACTCATTTTTATTATTATTTCTGGATTGTATTGTTTCATAAAATAGTAAAATCTTTTGGAACAGTATCATTTAACTGATTATTTTATTGGTTTATGTTGATTGAAATAATCTTAAGTATCATTTAACTGATTATTTTATTGGTTTATGTTGATTGAAATAATCTTAAGTATTGTTTAACTGATTATTTTATTGGTTTATGTTGATTGAAATAATCTTAAGTATTGTTTAACTGATTATTTTATTGGTTTATGTTGATTGAAATAATCTTAAGCATCATTTAACTGATTATTTTATTGGTTTATGTTGATTGAAATAATCTTAAGTATTGTTTAACTGATTATTTCTTTGGTGTATGTCTTTTGAAACAATCTTAAGTATTATTTAAATTTGATTGGTGTATGTTTATTGAAATAATCTTTAAATAGGTTAACAAAATAGGATCAATTTGAAAAATCATTATTTAAAATTTGTTGAGACAATATTAAAAAAAAATGTCTACTTCGGCACTATGAATTGCAATAAAAGTATTCTTAAACAAAAATTAGATATAGCGTACGTTAATAAAGGGTCTAACGTAATGTATGTCATGTCACCCCAAAAACTATATAAAGCCTCTTATTTATGATGGTCATTATGGGGACAGTTTGTTTGCGTAGCTCACTCCGCTAAAATAAAAGTTCATATTGAATGAGATTTTCTTTTTTTCACAACAAAAAAAAATTCTTAATTAGTTTTCTTGCTGCTTCAGTTTTTTTTTTTTTTCCCTTTTGATTTGATTTATTTAAATGAAAACTAACAATTATCAGAGTTGCTGACTGGCAGCTTTTGGTGGGTGAATCATTGTGTAAATACTTTTGTAGCCTCTTCTCCCATACATTTCTAAAACTGGTTTCATCAAGTGATGACTTTTGACAATCATCTTTTTTCTGTTTAAAAAAATATATTGAACAGCCCAATTGTGTTCATTTTACTATTTGATTTGTGCAATAGTTTTACAATATGAATGAAGCCCAGTGTTGGTAGTGTTGCTAATCCTTTGTATTCAGTGGCTTTGTTGGCAAAATTATTTGGAAAAAAAAAAATGTTGATTTTACTTTTAAATTCCCAGTAACTTCAGTTGAATGTCAAAATTAACATTGCCATGGTTTTTAATATTTGACATGCAACTATCAGATTTCCTTTAAAATTTTTAAAACTTCCCGTTGCTGAAAATTTGTAATTGCTGCAAACATTCCAACAATTACATTAAATTTTGATTAACATCCTACTCTGCATTTCATTCGCCAAGGAAATATTTATTTACCTGTGAATTTTTTTAATGGCACATTCTCCTACATTTTTACCTGAGGTTGAAAAGAATATTTAGATCTATATCGACTAGTAAGAAAAGGAATCCTATTTCGATTTCCAATAGTTCAATTTTTTAATTTTTCATTCTCCTAAATTATTGATAGTCTGTGAAGTTAATGTTCTCATTCTGGTTTGAAACATGGAAATGAGTTTGTTTGTTAATTGGATTCTGTCGAGATCAGGACATTGTGAAGAAAGAGCTGCCACCCAGGGCGAAGCCTGAAAATGCCCCCCACCCCCCAATTTTCTCCAATCAATATTATGATCTATGATAGAGTTTCATTGCTACCACACTAGATTTTGTTGGCTTGTCTATGATAGAGTTTCATTGCGACCACACTAATTTTTTTTTTTGGCTTGTCTATGATAGAGTTTCATTGCGACCACACTAGTTTTTTTTGGCTTGTCTATGATAGAGTTTCATTGCGACCACACTAGTTTTTTTTGGCTTGTCTATGATAGAGTTTCATTGCGACCACACTAGTTTTTTTTGGCTTGTCTATGATAGAGTTTCATTGCGACCACACTAGTTTTTTTTGGCTTGTCTATGATAGAGTTTCATTGCGACCACACTAGTTTTTTTTGGCTTGTCTATGATAGAGTTTCATTGCGACCACACTAGTTTTTTTTGGCTTGTCTATGATAGAGTTTCATTGCGACCACACTAGTTTTTTTTGGCTTGTCTATGATAGAGTTTCATTGCGACCACACTAGTTTTTTTTGGCTTGTCTATGATAGAGTTTCATTGCGACCACACTTGTTTTTTTTGGCTTGTCTATGATAGAGTTTCATTGCGACCACACTAGTTTTTTTTGGCTTGTCTATGATAGAGTTTCATTGCGACCACACTAGTTTTTGTTGGTTGTTTTAC